AGCACATGAAATTATCATTACTTCATTCCTTAGTATAATTTGTAATCATCAAAATCATCTCATGGCCTAATGTGGTTAACACAAGCTTCTTTGGAATGGCCTGCGAATCAATTGATTTGGCTGCTTAAAGAGAACATTTTGAAGAGGAAGAATCCTTTAGTTGTTGAAGGTTTTTTAATTGGGGATAAGCCAATGTTGAAGATGGTAAGATATGGGGGTGGGCTGTATTTGCTTCAATTAAAGAGTATGAGGTAGGGTTGAAAACCCCAAATTGCCCCTTTGTAAGTAAGAACTAACCTCCGTTGGAAGCTATAGTGGTTGCATAGTCTGCATTGAATCCTGTATCTTCACCTTTAATTGGGGATTCAAGCGGATTCATAGCCTTTTTAACATCATTGATGAAGATCTTTTTTTGTTATTCATTCAATTCATTAGAAACATGATAATGATTAGGTGGATGAGTGGCTTTACACTTAGAGACAAAATGCGAAATTATTATATTCGTGATAGGGTTGGTATAGCTCCTGTGACAGACAAAATTAGAGAAAGTCGTCTTAGATGGTTTGGTCACATTAAACGTCGACCATCTAATGATCCGATTAAGAGAGTAGATGTTTTAGATTCGACTTGTGTTAAGAAAGGCAGAGGTAGACCTAGGAAGACTTGAGCTTATTGTATTAAAAATGATCTTAATTTACTAGAACTAAATGAAAATATGACACTAAATAGGACGCAATGGAGAAAAAGGATTCATGTAGCCAGCCCCACGTAGTGGGATTAAGGCTTTGTTGTTGTTGTATTCAATTCATTAGAAACTATGAAGTGAAAGGCATTTGTCTTAAAACTAATCTTGTACGTCTTTATGGGGCTACCTAGCAATGGATTTATCCCTGGATTTAAGCGGGATGTAAGTTAAATTCTGTGTGACGATCATTTTGGACAAAATAAAGCCGTGGATTTGTTAAATCTGGATTTCACCATTTTTGATTTTAAATCCGGGATTTACTAAATCCTGCGAAATAGTGGGTTTATGTTTGCTGGCCGAGGATTTAATTTTTCTTTTTTTTTTCACTCAACCGTCTTTTTTTTTCGCTCCAACTATTGTAAATTCTGGTAGGACTTGCCAAACAGTATCATAGGATTTACATGATTTTATAAATTCACTTTTTAAGATTTAACCCCTTTAAGATATATATATATTGGTATACTATTTAATAAATTCCAATAACTTAAATCTCATTCGTTACCAGACAACCCCTATACATTAAAAAAGAGTTTTGCCTCGTATGACAACTTCCACTTGGGTAATCAACACATCAACTAACAAACTCAAGTCATTGCTATTAAAGAGAGAATAAGTATGTATATATATATATATATATATATATAT